ATACCGTGTGTCCACAAGATCCAAACGCACAGGTGTCCAGGAGAGGCAGATCAAGGGCTCAGATCCCAGGCCTATGGTGAACGTGGTCAATGCACTAGCAAACGATCCAGGAAAGTCAACATGTGGCAACTCAATTGGGCCAGGCCTCTCAAATTTACACCTCCATAATGGGACAGAAAACCCCCCTGGTTCTATCTTTTCTAATTTTCTTTTATCTTTTATTATTTTTAATTATTTATTTGTTTATTTATTTTCTGATTTAATTAAATATCCTCTTTTACAAAAAAATACAAAAAAACATCATAAAAATAAAAAATGTCCAAATAAAAATATAATTTTTAATTTTAATTATTTTCATCAATAAATTAATATATGTAAATATTTAGTTTAATTAGGTTATAGTTTTAATCTTTTTAATAAAAAACACCAAAAATAGAATTTAGGTTTAATATCTTTTTTTTATTTTTATTATTTTTCTTTTAATTTTTCCTCCTTTTCAGAATAATATTATTTAGTTATTTTCATAAATTAAAAATTGTGTATAAATAAATTAGGGTTTAACTTAGATTATATTTTAATTCCTTCATAATAAATAAAAATATTAGAATTAGGGTTTGCCTTTTAATTTAATTTCAATTAATTTCTTTTCCTTATTAAATCTAAAAAATACAAAAATATCAAAAACATTTAATCATTTAATTTTTAATTCCCATTAATTTTAATTGTTTGCAAAAGGGTCCAACGCCCTAGTTTTGTTTTGATTATTTTCTTTTGCGCATTTACTTTATTGCTTAATATAATTCTGTAAATCTCCCAAAGCCATGTAACTTTACTTTTCGCACTTTATTTTTCCGCTTTACTTATTTTCCGCTAAATCGGGTCCGGTTTAATTTTGGCGATGTGGACCCGCGCCTTTGTAATAGCCTTAGATTTATTTTTTGCAAACTTTATAACTGTTAAATATGCATGCAAGAACGAATGACAAAAAAATAAAAACAAACGCATAGATCACTAATAACATGACAAGATAAAATATTTGAATCTGACACACGAATCACACACCACCCCTAGGGTACGCCTCACTGTTGCCTTTCGAAAGGTGATCGTCGAGTAGAGGATGTCTTAGTAAGTCCTCATGATCCGGGAACCTGGCATGAGGATAGCTTCTAAGGTGTCTTCCCATTGCTCTGGTGATCACCATGTCCCGAACCTTCGAATTGACCCGAACACCTCCAACGGTGGTGCTACCTACCTCTCAATGGTGGGATGGCACTACTTTAAAGGACTCTTACACAGACGAATTCCTTAGGGTAGGTAGGTTCTCAAGGATACTTGCTCTAATCTCAAAACAACTCAAAAGACTTTTCACACTGACACATTTTTAAAAGCTTTCAAAGCAAACTTTTCAAACACTCTGACGTATGAGTCGATCTGAAATTTTTCAAAAGAAACTTTTTAAACCCACATTGAAAAGCAAGCAAACAATTTTGAAAACACATTGAGCAAGTATCTAAGAGCCCATGGATAACCATGGATAGAAAGGGTGCTAACACCTTCCCTTTCTATAACCTACCTCCCGAACCGAGAGCAATCTCTATAAGGAATTTTTCTGTGCTTTTGTCCTTTCCATTTGGAGAAAATAAAAGACGGTGGCGACTCTTGCTTCCGCGACATTTCGCGAACCAGCGTTAAACAGTCAGTTCCAGATCCACCGATCACAATATGGATATTACCAGATCAAAGGTCTGACATAGCTTCTGTATATACAAGAACCAAGTACCATGTAGATATCCCATTGTACGGGATCAAGGCTTCTGTAACATCAGATATTGTTGATCCTTTTTTGAACATGCTGGGAATACCAAGATAGAAGGCTCGAATGAACCTCCAAGTAAACAAGTCAGGAACTCAAAATAAATCTGAGAACCATACGGTCACCAACAGAATATAGCATCTGAATAAGTCATCAACAGAAATCCAGAATATAACCATTAGAACCAATAGTCACTGTCTGAACATGAGTAACCATCTGAACATAGTCACCATCTGTACCTGCAATAATAATTCCCTCCCTACTCACGGGTGAAAACTAGGTCAAGGTAAGGTCGGGTAACTCAGAGTCGAGGATACTCCTGAAAAACTATCATCGTATCACCTACGTGAAAATGATAGCCCCTCATTTGTACCTCATCTGAGCATGGACGACATGGCGGAGATAGTGAGACTTAAGTCAACTATCCATTCATGTTCCACTCTTTTCCTAGGTATTATATGGTATTCAACTCTGGCCCGGGTATTGGGCCTTTTACCTCATAGTAACACCCACCCAATAAGAAAAAGATCCAGTACAATAGTAGTATATGGAAAGAAGTAAAATGTCATGCATACATATGCTCAGGTATATACAAAATGAATGAATAAACTGAAAGCGTAAAAATAAACACCCAAAGAAAGGAAACAAGAGCTAGGAGTGACTCCGAGATGGACCAGCATTTGGTCGACCATTCCCCAATGAAGTCACTAGCTGAAACAACCGGTTGAAAATCATCAAACAGTGAAGTCGCCATCGAATGTCTTTTATCCCACATGAAGGGAAAGGTAAACATCGAGAAAACTCGAGAAGGGAGAAGTCACAGTCTTGCAACCGAGAGATTGGGTAAGGGAGTCTGTTACGCGAGGGGAAGGTATTAGCACCCCACATTCCTGTAGTACTCTATGGTATCCACTCTTATTATCTATCTTATGGGTGCGTTTAATCTATGCTTACTGTTTACTATTAAGGAAGAATGCATGCATACGAAAAGAGAAAAGAATGTAGGGAAAATAAAATTATACTCGTTTGGGCCCTACCCTAATGCTTACGTATCCTTTTTAAGGAATCAGAGCCACCGTAGTTCGGCTCACATGTTTTTGTTTATTTTGTGTTTTTTATGGACAATGTTAATTCTGCCTTCTGCCACAGCTCGACCTTTGGAGACTTATGCGTTGGAACAAAAGTAAATTAATCATGTCCTTACCTGAAAAGGGTTTTAGAGAAAAGGTGCTTGAGCGCACAAAAAAGGTTTGAATTGGTTTGTATTTTGTTACCTTGAAAAAGGGTTTAAGTGAGATTAACACGTTTTATGATTTTCTTAAGAAAAAGGTTTTAGTTTTAGATGCAAGGATGCAAAAAGGGAAGAAAAGAGTCTACAAGGGACTAGCCTATTTCTAACCTAATGATATCATACAAAGGTATCCCTACGTCAAGGATGAAAGGGAAATCTCTACCTAAAGTTAGCATGCATGGATTACATCCTAAGGTCTAACTTGCGCTCGAAAGGAGCAAGCGCGTCCTAAGGAAACATAGTATGGAAAGCGAGTAAACAAATAAGCTTGAAAGAGCACACACATAAAAGAGTAAGGAAAAGAAGAGAAATGCTTTAGCCAAGGGGAGCGTATCACCCGAGACAAACAAGTGGGAGTGAGATGAAGAAACAAAAAGTGATGTCCAAAGCAGATAAACACCTAACAAAGATATAGAAGATCGAGGTAAGTGACAGAAAGAAATATGAACAATCACTGAGTATCAGCATCGCCAATGCGAACTCTTGACAAAGCATGGGGGTCCAACTGTGGAACCCTTCCCTATTTAACGACTATATATACAAGATATGCACGACTCTGAAGCATCGACATACGACATGAGCTAAGGATGACACAGACAAAGTTAAGGGGTTGATTGCTAACCCTCCTCGCTCGCCTCCTTTTGAGGACTTCAATAAGGGATGGGGGAATAATGCATGCAAAAAACGTAAACACACCTTCAAAATACCTACACAAAGGTAGGGTTTTAAACAAACCACACACAAGTACCAAACATAATGCAAACAATGCGGAATTTCCCTAAACGGGTCTTTAAATAAACCAGAGGGGTTCCTGACATGATCAGCAACAGAGACCCCTTTCATACATCTCTATTCCTACTTCTCATGGCATCAGAAAGCAGTAGAATCCTACTTCTCATGATATCTAGAAAAGAAATAAAGAAATTTAATAAAGTGCGAAGAAGTACGAAGGTGCTAGCGGTGACTACCAAAGCGAGCAAGTCGTTAAGAGCAGCCGAAAGCACCAGAGAAGCAAGGAATATGCGTCGAGCAAGCTTCACCAAGAAACAAACAAAGTCAGAAATGATATCCAACTAAGATAAATGAAAACGCGTGTTGTGAATGCAACGCGTAATCAGAAGTTCCTGCATAATACATCATAAAGTATCACATGTATCAGGACAACATATAATACGATATGAATTTCTCAGGACGATGAGAATTAAGGCGTGTCGCATCAGAAGCGAGCATAAGCTGTATGCTTCGATCATATAACCACCTGTTATGTTACATGAACGAAAGCATAAAAAATATATCTCGCACAATGAACAAACGCATCAAAATATAACATGGCAAAGCGGCACGAAAATGCGGATAGAAAAACTAAAGGAAAAAAGTAATTTTTTATTAGTTTTTTATGTGAAGAAAAATTACATCAAAAATTAAAGAATTAATTTCTAAAATTGACTAAAGAGTTCTAACAAGTTTTATTGACTTTTTCAATTTTATCATAACAAAAATATAGAATAAAAGACATCCTAAAATAATTAGAAAGAGTCAGGGGGTGAAGGCCTGAAACTGAAGCTATAATGTAGTAAACTGCTCAAGGTGCAAGGCCCACTTCAAAAAGTATAGAAACTGTTTTCGTATATCTTTATTTATATATAAAAAAACGAATACATGCCTTGGTAATTTGGCCCATGTCCGAAGCAGTCCAACAAGCATTTTGTTTAATTACTTACATTTTCCAAAAAAATTCTTAATGGTCCCAAAGAAAGAGTGGCCCGGTCCAATAAGTTCAACTCTTCTCTTATTTCCAGCAGATTAATTTTCATGATTAAAACAAGAATAATTTTTTTTTTGTAAAAACAATACATTCTGTTTGTGACGTTTCAACTTTCACTCTCCTTGCTCAAAATGTCAGTGATTTCCGATCAAGGGATCCACCGTGCCGGAGACCTAAACACACTCCAATCTCCGTCAACCAATGCATCCCCGCCTCCTTCTATTATCCTTCCTTTCTACTTCTCATTGCTTCTCAACCTCCAACGAAACTTTCTTTTCCGATCTCCACTGACTTCCACCGCCATGGACTCTCAGTCTCTCTCCATTTATTCCAACCCGTCCGCACCACCACCGTCGAATTCCGGTCTACTTCCATCCGTTCTCAAACACCTATGTCTCTTCCTACTCTATATGAAAATCAAACCCCTCCGCTCTGATTTTTCAAATCCCTCCCCAAACCGGTAGCCTAAATTGCAGAAATGAAACTGTATCGCATACGCTTTAGATTCACATGCTTCAAGCTACACCAGAAACAAAATTTAAAATAATTACCTCCTGGAGTCAGTCTGGCGCCTCTTCAATTGTAACGAATGTAACGAGAAATATAGAGACTCCGAAATTCAGGTAGCTTCGTTCTATTACTCCTGCATTTTCTGTTTTCTTCTTATTCTGATTTATATTTATACGTTTTGTCGTTGTTACCATAGATGAAGAAAGGGTTTTGGATATTTCAGAGAGAGAAATAATTGAGACTGAAAGTGAGAGGAATAGAGAGAAGTTTGCACGATTCTTCTGCAAAATAAAGAAAAAATCCAGAATGAAAGAGGTGAGTTATGTTCTTATAGTCTGTTAGATTGGAAATAGTTAGTTAGAGCTGAATCAAATCTGAGCCATAGAATCTAAAATTTCTGTTACAGAATCGATGGTTAGGATTAATATAAAATGAGGCTTTGTTAGCAATTTTTGCTGAGCTGTCTTTTTTACTGAGTTAATTTCTCACGATTTTATTCTCTGCTCCAATATTTTCCTGTTTTCTGTTGTAAATCTCCTATTGAACTGAGTGAGTTGTGGTCGTAAAATTGATCTTAGCATTTTCCTTCTGATTTACTGCTATTTTGCCCATGCTTTTTTCAATTAGAAAAATCTGTTATAAAATTGGTTGAATCTGGTATTGGAATGAACTAGCAATTCTATTTCTCCTTATTTTTCTTTTCTGCCTCCGTAACTTTCTGATTTTTCTACTGTAGTCATTTCTGATTTTCTATACGCTGAGCTGGAAATTGATGCAAGGTCACGGTTTATCTTGTGAAAAAAGTCTGTTTTGTTTGAGCACAAGGCTTGTCTGATTTTATTTTCTGGATAACTGGTTTACTTGTGATACTCATATGATTAATTTTCTTGTTATGCAGATTTGGATAATTGATTTTGTTTGGATTACAACTTTCCTGATTTTTTTTACTTAACCGTTTCTCTGCGATTTCTCTACTATAGACTTGATTCTGACTTTGAAATGTTGTAGACTGTGTTGGATTTCTAATTGGTTTTTTCTATTAAATGCAGGCTGTGTTTTTTGATTGATTGGAAAAATATATGCCATGGTAACTAGAGGAAAGGTAGATATTATTACTTTATGATCAGCAATAAATGAGGTTTCGATGATTAAGCTATATGCCATGATACTCGCACACCGTATAACACATTTGATTCTCTTTAGCTCATCACTGTGCATTCCTTCCAACAAAATTGCACAACCCAAACGTGTAGGAAATCCTTCAATGAACATCAACGTCTCGGAGTATCGTGAAATTGTTCCTCTTGTTCAGCAGCTTGTTGCTTTGGCTTTGAAAAAAAGCAGCTTGTAGTGTAACTTTGTAGTGATGTTCCTTGTGAACTTGCGAACTTGCAAACTAGCAAACTAGTAAATTTGTAAACTTGCATCTTTTGCAATTCAAACTTTTTTTGCCATAGTTCCTTGCTTGAATCATCTTCTTGACATCATGAATACACATGCTCTTGAACAAATTAATTTGATGTACCAAGTAAATAACAATGGATCCCTAATTCAACTCAATTCCTCAATCTAAAGCAAACTTGTGTGTAGAGCAACAAACATTTGAAATAATGACTCCCTGAGCATAATGGACCTTCAAACACAACACCTTGTGTCATGGTTCAACGGTGTTCTTAATACAACAATAAAGCCTTGAGGAAATATGGAGAATGAATATGGGAATATGGAAGATAGCCTTGACTTGAAAATCCAATGATCCTCAGTTGAATATTAACAGACAAAAACCCTAATTCTTAAGCCTTGAAGAAATATTACAACTTGATGTCGGGAAAAAAGAATACCCCTGTAGTCTGACGATAAAGCAGTCCAGGAAATAAAACCTTAGCTTCGAACAAATGATTTATGGAGAAATCAACCAAAACAAGCTTGTGCGAAGATGAGAGCCTTAAGGCCATACAACAATCCTAATTCCTTGAAATCTATGATCCCATGCCGTAAATTTATTGATTAATGATGCATGACATGCAGAATGACCTAATGGAAGTTATGTACATGAGAAAAGTGTGAGATGCATAAGTCAGATAAAAGACAAATGGTAGGACAAATTTGGGGTATTACAGATAGGACCTCATCCAAACCCCAAAACTTTTTCTCCTAACTACGATCCCGATGCAAGGTGTGCCTATCATTCTGGCAGTCCTAGGCATGATACAAACGATTGTTGGGCGCTAAAGTATAAGATTCAAAACCTTATCAACGAAGGAGCGTTGGAGTTTACACAAGACGGTCAACTGGATCTCTTCTACCACCCCTCAAGGGCATCCATATGAAGTAATGGTCTGGGCGAGGAAATTTTCTGTTTATTCAAATTTTCAGTTGTAATTTCTTTGTTTACTTAAACACTTATCTATATGTTAGACTTTGGTTACTTTCATTAATGTATTGAATATGTTTGCTTGAATTAATCCATTCATATTCATTATACTTAAAACTATGCTTTTTACTCCCTTTATGATATTCAACTCTTGTTTCAAAAAGTTGCAAACCTTTAGAGGGAGGATGACGAAGACAATGCCAAATCACATACAGTATGCTTTTGAATAGACCTTGCTGACGATGTATAGGAATTTGATTCAATTCCTAAACACTGGAGTTATAAGGAGGATAATCCCTAGTCAGCCCCTTTGAGCCTAAGAAGTAGGAGTTTTCTTTTTCACACAAAATGAAACCTTTAATCAAAACCTGGGGCAGGGTAGTCTCTCAGTTAATTCAAGTGCGCGTTCAATCGCAAGCTTTCACTTCGTATACAACGAATGACATCAAAAATATTACTCTGGAATCAAAAGACGAAGATGGTTCCCTATCACATAGGCAATCATTATCTCTCAAAAGAAAAAAAACCACTAAGTCAAAACCTACGAAGGAGACTTAAGAAAACTGGGGCGTCCCGCTGACTGCAATCTCAAAACGAGAACAGTCAGGCAAAAATCAGGGATAATAAATTAAAAAGAGGTTACTATAAATCCTCAACAACACAAAATTTTTTGCAAAAATGACTACCTTCCGATAAACTTAACTTATCTGAACCATCACCAAAACGTCATTCAGACTCAATTGGAGTTTAAACGCACAATTAACCGAGTTTAGGAACTGAAGAACATCATGAAGAATGGGAGGGTACAAATACACTTTGAGCCTTATCCTTTGTTTATTAAACCGTGAGCTATACCATACTACAACCCTTCAAAAGTCCTAATTGAAGCATGGGTTAGTTCAAAAGCATATTGTTATAAAAGGTATCCTGACTCTTGCAAGGTTTACTCTAAATCCTGAGTTGAATTCACATTCTTACAAAATTCTATTATTTGCTAAAACGCATTTCAAAATATCAAGACAAGCATAAACTTTGCATTATTTGAATATCGTTGTTTTCATATGGCTAATTGTTTGACAACAGATAAATTCACACGACGAATATCCAACGAACAAAAACTCTCCCAGTGAACAAAATCACTTCAAATGGGATGACACTTCCAACGACAAATCTCCTATTAAGCAAGGGGGCATGATATGTCACTATCCAACTCGTCTGGGGTAGTCAAGTCGAGATTCTAAGAAATCTCTCAAGGAATGCTGAATAACCAGGGACAAGTCTACATTTGAACCACTTGGGGCATTGAACATGAACCCCAACAAAGGGCCGCGTACGGTCAAGCAAACATTTTATGGCAGTACTGCAACACTTACTACTTAGGGCAACGACAAATTCCCACAAATTCCTCTTCATAAAGTGATCCCCAATCAAGTCTCCATAGAATCATCTCTATAAGATTATCCCCACAGAATAATCTTCACAGATAAGGGCACAAACCCCTCCAGGCCAAATAAATTGATATCCCCATAAAGTTGGATCCAGGAAATCCTCAGTCATAGTTTCAACCTTCGGAAAACCACTCCCCAGCTGAGTTGATCTCAAGAATCCTCGAGGAGTTCTGCCAAAAGAAGACGCCTCTCCAGCAGGTTGGCAACAAGGTTTATTTCCCCAACAAATTACATATTCCCCAGCTTGAGTTTGCCCCTCAAGCTATCATAAATCAAGGGATCACAACCCCTCTTACCCAATAGACTGTTCTACAATCCCTAGTGAGTTGTTGCAAAGCCTGGGAGCCGACCAGATAACAGTTAACAAGTTGTTAACTTCCTTCCTCTTCCATCAAGAGATAACTCCCCAATAGAGCAACAGACAACTAAAACTCCTGAACTCTTTTCCCCAAGTGGAAATCAACACTCTTCATAGAGTTTCTTCTCAAGCAAAATATACATTCCCCAGCGGGGTCCTCCTCAAACAACAAGACAGGAATCCCAAGCGGGAACATCCTAAAACAAGGTCTAGAGAGGTGCATACTCTTCATCCCCAATGGCAGTCCAGGATTTAACTTCCCAAAAACTCCCCAACATTTTTCAAGGATTTATCTTCCAAAACAAAGATACACTCCGACAACATTTCACATTTCATGCGTCATATTACATACATGATAAATGCATACGGCATAATCTCATTTATTTTGAGAACATCATCAAGCCATGCATACATCTGCATGCAACTAACCCTCTTCCTTGCAAGGAAAAGATCAATCAACAGATATCTATCATCAATAGTTTTCAAAGAGGTCATAGATTAATACCTGAAACCAGCCAGGACAATTATCTCTGCGACCAACAAAAACAAGTTCCAGATTAATACCTGAAACAAGACAGGAAAACTATCTGCGAATGACTGATTATAGATTAATACCTGAAACCATCCAGGACAACTATCTCTACGACAAAAAAAACAATTTCCAGATTAATATCTGAAACAATACAGGACAACTATCTGTCAACAAATTGATTATAGATAACCTCCCGAAACAGGACGGGGTGACTATCTACATGATGAATACTTCCTCCAGACCTCTTCTGGTTTAGTTTAAATTGATCAATGGTTTATCCTGATTCCATTCTGGTAGACACTTACTCTGGTTCAGATAAATCACTCTAAAAATTTATTCTGATTCTTTTCTAGTTAAAGAATATTCAAGACCTCTGTTGGTTCAGTTTAAATCGATCAATGGTTTATCCTGATTCCTTTCTGGTAGACACTTTCTCTGGTTCATATAAATTGCTCCAAAGATTTATTCTGATTCTTTTCCAGTTAAAGATTATCCAAGGCCTCAACTGGTTTAGTTTAAATTGATCAATGGTTTATCCTGATTCCTTTCTGGTAGACACTTTCTCTGGTTCAGATAAATCGCTCCAAAGACTTATTCTGATTCTTTTCCAGTTGAAGTCGAACTTAGACTTAGTCTAATTTCTGTCAACAATCACATTTGGATGGCATCTATAAGCCCATCTTCGACAACTCTCCATCATCTCTCCAAATGGAATCTTTAATCCCATTCCCTATAATCAACAACCACATCATCAAGTGAAAATTTCTGGGCACTCTAGTGTTCAATCATCTTCTACCTTCAAGCTACGGATGACAACATGTCATACTCACTTTTCAGGTTTAATAAGATTGAACAGGGGCAACTGTTGTACCCCAAAATTTGCCCTCTCATTTCTCAAGACATTTCCCCACAAGGATTTTCAAAAGTTCAAATTTTCACAAGTACAATTGGGCTTTCAAACATCAAATAGAAAAAAGAGAGTGCCTGCTTCGATTTCACATCCTTCTATTGGACTTTTGGCCTCTTTCAATGCAAGTTTGGCTTGCGCCTTTTGATTGAGCATTGGCCTCTGACACGCTGGCTTCGACTCACAAAGCAGGAGCTTCTTGCATGCAACCTTCGATTGGACCTTGGCTCTTCATGTAAACCTTCGTTCGAGCGATGGTCTCTTGTATGCTTGCTTGGAGTCACAAGGAAGTGACCTCCTGCATGCAAGTTTCGATTGGACATATGGCTGTCTGCATGCAAGCTTCGATTGCACCATTGGCCTCACATGGTTTACAATGAAATGGTTGTTTTCATGCTTGCTTCGATTGGACATTTGATGCATGCATGCCTTTTTTGATTGGACAAAT